TTTGTCTAAAGAATTCGCCANTCAGACAAATAAATAGTTAGATAATTATCTTTAAAATAATATGCATACTTTTTTTTTTTTTTGGTATAAAGGAAGGAGGCAAAAGCCTAAAACCGTTACACGACGGGTAAACAATGCCAACGAAGTCATGCTGTAACTACGGTTTAACTACCGACGGTGGATCTGGGAGCCGTTGATAACCGCTCGGACAACTGTGAGCTAGAGTCGCCAAACAATCAGCCGCAAAGTTGGCTTCTCTATAACAATGGTTCACACTAACCACCCAGTCTCGACCAAGAAGCTCCCTTATTGCCTGAACCAGGCTGCCATGAATGCCTAGATTGTCTATCAAACTCCCCGTCGCCATATTCACCATACTCATATTATCAACTTCCACCTAGACTTTACGGTAGCCCAACTCCCAGGTTAACAAAAGCCCGTGAAAAAGACCCCATAACTCTGCTACAGTGATGGAGCAATACCCAATATTCATCACAAACCCCCAAAGCCATCGTCCATGAGCATCACTAGCCAAGCCCCCAGTAGATGTCATCCCACTCGAAGTCAAAAGTGAGCCATCCGTATTGATTTTGACAGTTCCAATCTCAGGAGCATTCCATCAAATGAAATGGACTCCTCGGCCCGCACCGAAGCCGCCCAGGTGGTTCTCAAAGGATTTGGTAAGGTGGATTCCATGAACAAAGGAGCGAACTTCTCGAATTTTATTAGTAATGATGAACTCCTTGTCGGAGAAAATTTTATCATTTCGTCCCCTCCATATTTGCCACACCGTGACACCAAAGATCGCTTCCCAATCAACGACTCCAATAGGTAGCCCATTTTGCTGGTTCTGAATTATCTACTCCTGTAATGGCATAGAAAAAAACACAGAGTAGTGTTTAGCAGGGATCAGGTTCATCCAAATTTGCTTGGCGCCCACACAATCACGAAGGCAATGTAAGGTCGATTCTTCATATCGTTCGCATAACGAACACAAGGGTGAATCCGTAATGTGTCGACGGTGCCTTTCCACATTCGTTAACAACTTTTCTTGAACAACAAGCAAAAGAAATTGTCGAACCTCTGTGGTCCAATCCATTTCCAGATAACTCTCCACCAAGCTCGACCCCTCGTCGGGGTGAAAGGAAAAAACGACGAGTAGGCAGATTTGGTGGCGAAGAGTCCATTCTCCAAAAAACCACAATAAATTGTATTCGGCCCAGCTAGTCTCGTCGGTGGCAGACTTGCAGCAATACGGAGCAAAAATTAGTTATAGGAATAAAGTCTAGCATTCCCAATTCCCATCCACACTGGAGATGCTCTAAATATATTTTACATTGATATGGAATGTAATTTTTAAAAGGTATGATGATCAGAACTACCTATAATTGTAATTAAGCCGTCCCCTCAACAACGTTATTGTTTAAACTAAGCTAGAATTTAATTTAAGAAAAGCATTATCAATTAGCATGGATGGTTGTCTAATTTAATTGAAATGCTATAAATTGTTATGATAAAAGTTTCAATTTCAACTTTTTCATATTATGCTAAGGACAACTATGCATGACATGACATAACATGACATGCAAGCATGCTCTCCAAATGACAGTACAGTTGCATTTGGGTACTATTTAAGACTTTCTATGTTCTATTATTTTCACCGTTATCATAAAAAACAATCAACAATTACTACTATGAGCCAAAAAAAAAGGGGGAATATTTATACAAAAGTTATAGCTATGAAGTCTATGATGAATCGTTATTAAAATTGACAAAGGAAATAAAAGTTGTACATAGAACTTCACGAATTGTTGTTACATTAATCATGGATTTCTATTAAAAAAATGTTAAAAAATTGAATTATAATTTTAACAAATTTTAACAATGGTTTTCTGAAAATCCTTTTTGAATTATAATTAGCTGTTCATATCGTTAATTTAGCGAAGGGTCCAGCAACGCTCCTGCCACATAAATGTTGCTAATTTTTTATTTTTTTTTTGTAGCAACGGATAATTTTGACAAATCTAGTTGAAAAGTTAATTATGAATAGTTGGTAGATTATAATTGATGCATGAAAAATGAAAAAAGTGCGCTAAAACAACAATCTCAATAGTTTTTCTGTAATAAAGAAACATATAAGATAACCTCGAGTTTGTTCTTTTTTTTTTAAATCTCATCATAACAAATCAAAATTTTTAATACCATAATTTTATAGTTTAACTGAATAAGTTAATAAGTTAGCTTGTGATGCTCATCAAACACACTCGTGAGCCAGCCGAAAATCTTAATCTATCATTTACCGATTCTTCCCTCAATTATCTATCATGCTCTTTTGATATTTTCCTTTTGGCCTAAACTGTAAGGGCTTTTTTGTATACAAATATATCCGCTCAAATGAGTTTTTTTTTTTTTTTTTAAAAAAATTTACTCTGCTTAACAGAAAAAAGTCATTTGAGCTGTATACAATTGGGTCAACAAAACAGACATAAACGTCATTTCATATGTATATATGTAGTTCTTTTATATCAATCAAGAAAAAAAGTAATAAAAAGGCACATTAAGGATGTTAATTTGTAGCCAAACTTATGGGTCCATTGTGTAAGACAAATTGAACACCATCGTTATTAGACCACCGGCTGCAAGTTGCTTAATCAATGTGTTCTGTCTGTGATCCAAACCAAACACACCATAAAAGCAAAGCACAACGCATAGAAGAAAACCTGATGAATGGACAGTTTGTTTGTGAACTTATGATTCAAGCTAGTGGTGGTTGCAATTTCCCATCATGTATATAAATGTCACTTTGTCACATTTGACACTTTCATGTCAAGTGATCAATTAATTATATGCAATTTAAATGTGTTTTTATTGTTAAATCACAATTATTAAGGGTCTTAATTTGCCAACTAGCTAAAATGAATGATTTATTACAAAAAAAAAAAAATAAAATAAAATAAAATGATCCTACCGACGTGCCCCATCAGTTTTTTTACGGATAGATCGACCAACTTATGGATTTGTGTGTGAATGATCCAACAGTCAAAAATCCGATTAATGCAATGCCCAGGTACAAATTTGTCGTTTTATTACTCTGTGTCAGTCATGGTTGTGAAAATCGAACCGGTCATCGAACTGATGAAACTACTGGTTCAATGGTTCACTAGTCGAACCGGACCGTTTTAATTAATATATAATTTTTTATTTATTTTATATGTATAATACATAATTATATATATTTTATTATTATTTTTTAGTATATAGAATTTCTCTAAATAAGAGTTCAATAATATATACAACCGACAATGTTGAATAATGTTGTTAACTTTTTTTTTTTCTTATTTTAGTTTTATACTTAAAATTTTAATCTATATTTAATATACAAAATAGAGACAATAGAAACAACCAAATTTTTATTTTAAATCACATTTTAAGTTTTTTATTATTGATTAAAAAAAATAAAAAATAAAAATAATATGCATAACAAACAACAATAAAATAAATTGCTTCTTTATTTTTTTAAAAAAAGTTGAGAACAGAGATAGCCCAATAGATAATTCACTTCAAATAACAATACATTTTTTTTAACGAGAGGCCCAATATTGGCCTAATAATTTCAGCAAAGAAACATATCCCACATAAGAAATAGCAATACAAGTAAAAAAAGGTGTGTTATTTAAACCACTTCACAATCTACCAAGTTCAAATTCATAAGCTTGAACCAGTGACTGGTTCGAACGGTTCTTGACCAGGTCTCCTGCATAGCGGTTTGAAGGCTCAAACCGGACCGGAAGAATGGCCGGTTCACGGTCCAACCGGTTGAACCGGCCGGTCCCTGTCCGGTTTTTAGACCAATGGTGTCAGTAGATTTGCGAACTCACTTGATGAATTATGTTTCACCGAATATGGCTTAATTGCAAATGCAAATGACTAGAGGTCGAGCATGCTTGTTTGTCAAAATATTCGTCAAAGATTGAATGTATATGAATCCAACAATCTTAGAGTTACTTAAACTCGTTTTTTCAACATTTCAACTTTAGAATTAATTTATAATTCAACCTCAAATGAATTTGAGATTTTATAAGTAATTCACTTACGAAAATGGAATCCATAAAATCGATACAAAACCATCTTTTTTTTACACAAACATTTGAATGAGGTATTAAACCATTATCATCTTACAAAACACTATTTAAAATACTGATAATGGTGACAATCTATTCATTTTATCTAGTGCAATCAATAGCAATATTTATAATGTAGCACCTAGAGATCTTCAATTAATATCTATGAACTATACACTAAAAAAAATTGTTATATTTCAATGAAAAATCCTATGATAATATATTCTAATGGAAATTCTAACGGCTATTCCAATGATATAGTTTTTGTTGGAATCATTTCAACGGAAATTCCAACAAAAATATTCCATTGGAATATTAAAATTTGATGATTTCAACGACTATTTTTCCAACGGTTTTTTACTGTAGGATTTTTCGTTGAAATATGCAATTTCCGTTGAAATTTTTATTTCCACTCCCGTTGGAAAATCTACCGTTGGAATCGTCAAATTCCAACGGAAATTCCAATGAAAAAACTAATTCCAACAGAATATTTTTGTTGGAATTTCTGTTAGAATTCATTGAAAAATTCTAAAGGAAATAATAGCATTGGAATAGCCATGGAATTGCCGTTGGGATTTCATTGAAATATATTTTTGTTGGAATTTTTTATTGAAATTTTTATCATTTTCTTGTAGTGATAGTGAAATAAATCATACTTATATTTTATATTTATGAACTAACTTATATAGAGAAATAAATCAAATATTTTCAAAAAATTGTGTCCATTTATTTATTATTTATTTATTTTGAGACTTGGAAAAATATGCCCCGTCAAACGAGGGGAAGTCTCGAGATAAAACAGACATGCTGGGCTCGGCTTATTCCATATCAAACCGCCGGTTTATAAAGGCAACCCGGTTCAAGAGCCCCAAATAGAACTTCAAAACCGTCGCAACTGCAGAAATTCAAATTCAAAAACCCTAAACCAGGCACCAATCAGCCCCACCTCACAGGAAGCCAGCAATGGACCGAGGTGGAGGGCCGGCGTCGAGTGGATCGAAGCCCTCGTTGTTCTCAGTGTATCAGAATCCGGCTCTCTCCGCCGCCCTCACCTCCAACAGCCTCCGCCCCTCCGCCTCCACTCTCCTCTTCATCCTTTCCATCTTCTCAGCCGCCGGCCTTACGCTGATCTTTTCCCTTTCCAGGTAATTTTCCGTTGCATGTCGGCCGGCGGCGGCCGTTTCGAGTTTTCCTTGTCTTGTCTGTGCGTTTTTTAGCTGCTGTGTGTCGGTGAATGAGAAGTGCGTTCTCAGTTAGTCACCGTGTCTTCAGTTCTGTTATCTTCCATCAATGGCATTTATAAAACAGGCTGTGTAAAGTGCGCACTTAGTTCATTTATTTATTAGGACGCAAGGGGTGAACATGAGAAAACCAGCGGAGGGGAATATGCCTTGGAGAATGGAGATGGATGTTTCTATTTAGTGCTCCTTGTAGTGAGCTCGAGCTCCATCGTACATTTAGTTGAGTTTTGAGGTGGTGTGATTTTATTTGATGCTAATTGTAACTTCAGCTTTGGGTATCCATGGAGGCTTATACGTATTTTGACGATTATACATCTGTGGACTATGTCTTTGTGTGAATTGTGTTGTTATTTGAGTTCCTACATGTGCGTATTACTATTTTAGGAATCACACGAAGTTAACAAATCAGCTCTAATCTGATCGATGCAGGGAAAATGCAGTTGCTACTGATCTGGGACTCGGATTTGTCTCTCAAGATGTTGCTCGTAAGTGATATTCCGAACTCACATTTCTGTATTTCAAAGGCAACGAACCATTTTCCAAACTTGATGTCATGTCCATATATCAGGTATATTTTCCAAAGTAGTACCAGCACTGGCAACCATGATTCTACTTGGAACTTTGCTTGCTTTCTTCAGGGCATTCTCACAGTGGCGAGCAAGAAATTCTACAGATGTGGCAATTATATCCCTTTCCAAAGGCACTAAGGAGGTGACACGCCTCAGCAAACGACAGCTAGGCCTTCTCGGACTAAGTCCGAAACTCGAACTGGATTCTGAAGAGCCTTCAAAGAAACCTCCCAAATCCAAAATCAGCTCACCTTCACAGTCAGACTTGCTAGTCCCTCTTCATCCATCTGTAACAGGTTCTGATCACTTATCTAGACCGAGTGGCGGGAGATCGAGTGCCAGTAGCGGAAGCAAGATGCATACCTTCAGCACACCTTCAGGATCACCAGCTTCTCCTTCTATGTATCTTGTCCCTGCGCCTTCCATGCGGTCCCCTGTCCCGCTACAGTCCTTGCAGTCTTCACCTGGTACGGATCAGCCGGTTTCCACCCCATGGTCGAAAAAACGGCCCCCCTTTCACAAGGAGATAGCTACAGAGGAGGATCTCAAAAGATTCTTGGCGGACGTTGATGAGAAAATATCCGAGACAATAAGTAAATTGGGGACTCCACCTCCCACTGTGAATGGATTTGGTATGACCAGTCCAAACACCATGATAAGCTCGGTTAATACTTCTGGAGCCACGAGAAGCACGCCTCTGAGGCCGGTAAGGATGTCCCCTGGTTCCCAAAAGTTCACGACCCCTCCGAAGAAAGGGGAATTGGATCTACCCCCTCCAATGTCAATAGAAGAGTCAATTGAGGCTTTCGAGAAGTTGGGAGTGTACCCGCATATCGAGCAATGGCGTGATCGGTTGAGGCAGTGGTTTTCTTCTGTTGTACTCAATCCTCTTCTTACAAAAATCGAAACGAGCCACCTGAAGGTAAATATTTGTATCGCATTAACTACCATAGCTGGATATCTCCGTAACTCTAGTTAGGAAATCAGATCTCTGTCTCTCCAAAACACATCAGTGTAAACCCAATTGCATTTCCAGTGCTTAAAGCGTATCAGTTAGAAAGTAACTGAGAAATCGCAACTCTGGATTGAGAGGCAGCTAGGAGTGTCTGGATTTTTTGTAATGGGAATAGAAGTATCACAATGATTCAGAAGTTGGCTATGGTTTCATCTTTGCATTGTTTGACAGTCTTTAAGTTATTTGTTTGAGTGTTTCAAGTACACTAGTTTATATTCTTGATATTGCTATGCTAGAAAACTTAGCTCTACACCCTTTTTCTGATTGTTTATATTTTCTCTTATTCTTAGGTTATTGAAGCAGCTGCTAAACTTAACATTTCGATTACCCTCAGTCAAGTTGGAAGTGATACCCCAACTACACCTACTGCTAATGTATCTCAAATGGAGCGAACTAACGAGTGGAAGCCATCATTTGCAGTTGACGAAGATGGACTTCTTCATCAGCTTCGTGCTACTCTCGTTCAAGTTCTTGATGCTTGTATGTATAAACTCTTTAATGAATATTTACGTAACAATAAGCAACGCATAGAGGATTTGTGAAGCCAAGTTTGTTTTAGACTTTTGTATTAATTATTTATTATTTTTTAGGGTTTAATTCCTAACCATTGCTTCTCATTTCTAGCAAAATTACCTTCTAGCAACATCCAGCAAGCTGCATCAATTCCTGTTCTACAAGAGGCTGTTGATGCCATTGTGGAGCATCAGAGGCTCCATGCTTTGATAAAAGGAGAGTGGGCTAAGGGGTTGCTTCCTCAAAGTAGTGTCCGAGCAGATTATACTGTACAAAGGATTCGTAGTAAGCGTGAAATAATCATCGTTACTGACGTTAATTAAACTGATCTTACTTCTCATATGTGGTTTTCACCATGCTTAGTTAGTTTGTTTTACCTTGTCAAAAAATTTACAGAGCTTGCGGAAGGAACGTGTGTGAAGAACTACGAGTATCTGGGAAATGGCGAAGTCTATGACAAAGTGAATAAGAAATGGAGTCTTGAGCTCCCCAGTGATTCTCATCTTCTTCTCTATCTGTTTTGTGCTTTCATGGAGTATCCCAAATGGATGTTGCATGTCGATCCTTCAACTTATACCAGGGCACATGGTAGCAAGAACCCTTTGTTTTTGGGGGCCCTCCCGCCTAAAGAAAGCTTCCCTGAGAAGTATATAGCCGTTATATCCGGTGTTCCCTCTGTTCTGCATCCTGGGGCTTGTATTCTAGCTGTTGGGAAGCAATCTCCTCCAGTATTTGCTTTATACTGGGACAAAAAGCCTCAGTTTTCTTTCCAGGCAAGTTACAGTGACTTGCTTGCTTTTAGGATAGGGAAATTGAACAACAGAGCAATTCTGAATTATATAGATCTAATTAAGTTCCTTTTTGGCTTTTTCGTAGACTTATCTACGTTTTTGGGGTGCAAAAATAACATTTAGGGCTAATTTAAAAAAGATACAGCTGTCTTTCTAAACTACGAATGCCGCCTCACATTTGTGTCTATTCCAACAAGTTGTTTCCTTTTCTTTTGAAGAAAATTCACTCTCTCAGTAGGGTGTGTTTGTATGTACCAAGTCTTGTAAGTTTCAAACAGTAGTCGAGCCTTTTGTACTTAGCTCGCACCTCAAGCTTAACTTGTCTTACATATTTCTCCATTTGTGTGGCCTTTTCGTTTGCAGGGAAGAACGGCATTGTGGGATTCCATATTGCTTTTGTGCTACAAAATTAATGCGAGTTACGGTGGTTTTGTAAGAGGGGTGCACCTCAGCTCATCGGCCTTGGAAATTCTTCCGGTTCTTGAACCAGAAACTGACGATTGAGAATAAAAAAAAAAAAAAAAACTTGTTGTGCATTATATCTTCGTCTTAGGAGCTGTCGGCTGAATAAATCTCATCGAGCCATTATACATGCAGCTGCTCACAACATGGTATTTCTCAAAGCTACTTTCTAACATGTGTTAGAAAGATACAGTAGTTTCTGTTAGTGTAGTCTTCTTGACGGGAGACCGTTTGGTGTTCTGTATTGATATTGAACTTCTTTAGCTAACGAAGTTATGTCATTGCCTTTCTCGTTGCTCGTCTCTTTCACTGCTCGTGTTTTGCAGTATGCAGAACTTCCTTTTCATTCTTAATCTCCATTCGTCACACAAGAATAATTTTTTTTCCTTTCTTAATTTCACATGCTAAGAAACAAGGCATTGTTGTAATAAATAGAAGTTGAGTAAAAATAAGAAGTATTTTCCGAATATTCTTAAGTTATTAATCTTAATGGTTTTTTTCTGCAAGTAGCTATGAATTAGATAAGAGCAAAAATAGAAACGTTATAAATGCTTCCTGTAAAGTAATATACCTTTATCTTTGGGTATCCAAAACCTTAATTTTGTTTTAAAACTATACAGAAAGAGAGATAATAGAGAAAATGTATTGTCTTAAGTACGATTTTTATTATAACTGAAGCTCCTATTTATAGGAAAACTTCTGATGGCACAATCGTAATAATACAATTACATCAGAGACAAAATAGTCATTTACATATATATATTTAATCATCTCGTGCACCTCATGCACATTATTATAACACTCCCCCTTGAATGACTATTATTAACTGTGCGTTTATGCTGCCTCGTTAAAAACCGTATCTGGAAAAACCATGTGGGAAAAAAACCGAGATAAGGGAAAAAGAGTACAGCTGCATATGCTCCCCCTCAAGTTATCATCTATACAAATCCCGAAGATGTCTCATTCCAATTGTGCACGTGTTTTCGAAAGATTGTAGTCGGAAGCGTCTTCGTAAATAAATCTGCTGCATTATCGCTTGATCGAATGTATTGAACTTTGATTTGTTTGTTTCTTTAAAGCTCTTGAGCATATGAGAAGAACTTTGACGGGATATGTTTAGTTCTGTCACTCTTAATGTATCCCTCTTTGGTTTGAGCGACACATGCTGCATTGTCTTCGAAGATCACCGTCGGGTCATTATTATTTGATAGTCCACTGGCTTGTTGAATATGTTGAGTCATGTTTCTAAGCCAGATGCTTTCCCTAGTTGCTTCATGAAGTACAATGATCTCAGCATGGTTTGAAGATGTCGCGACTAATGTTTGTTTCTGGGAACGCCAAGAAAACGCAGTTACTCCAATCGTGAAAACGTAGCCAGTCTGAGATCTTGCTTTATGGGGGTCTGATAGATATCTTGCATCTGCAAAACCGATCATTTCATGTTTTTTATCATTTGAGTAAAACAATCCCAAATCGATTGTCCCTTGGAGATAACGGAATACGTTCTTGATTCCATTCTAGTGTCTCCTCGTAGGTGACGAGTTATATCTTGCTAACAAGTTGGTAGCAAAAGATATATCTGGTCTGGTGCAATTTGCAAGATACATAAGAGCTCCTATTGCACTCATATATGGTATTTCAGGACCAAGTAATTCTTCATCTTTTTCACAAGGTCGAAATGGATCCTTTTCAACATCTAATGTTCGATTGACCATTGGGGTACAAAGGGGATTAGCCTTGTCCATATTGAATCGTTTCAATATTCTTCTAGTGTAATTAGATTGATGGACAAATATCCCATTTTGGACTCGTTCTATTTGCAAGCCGAGACAATATTTGGTTTGTCCGAAATCTTTCATTTCAAATTCGCCTTTCAGTAGAGTGACTGCTTCTTGGATTTCATTTGTAGTCCCAATAATATTAAGATCATCGACACAGACAGCAATTATCACAACTCCATTTTGTGATCTTTTTATAAAAACACACGGGCATATTTGATTATTTATGTATCCCCGTTTTAGTAATTGTTCACTCAAACAATTATACCACATACACCCGAATTGTTTCAAGCCATACAATGATCTTTGCAGTTTTATCGCACATAACTCTTTAGGTTTGGATTTTAGTGCTTCGGGCATTCTAATTCCTTCTGGAATTTTCATATAAATGTCAGCGTCTAGTGATCCATATAAGTAAGCAGTCACAACATCCATGAGATGCATTTCAAGATTTTCATAGATGGCTACAAGGCGAGCTTTATATCTTTTAATCTCATTTTTCTCATTTCTTTTTCTGACAAAAACCCATTTGTATCCAATAGGTTTTATGTCTTTTGGTATAATGGTAATAGGTCCAAAAACCTTTCGTTTATTAAGTGAATCTAACTCGGCTTGAATAGCACCTTTCCACTTGTCCCAATCATGTCTTTTCTGACATTCAATCATAGATTTTGGTTCAGGATCCTCAACCTCTTTGTCAATTTCTTGTGATACCATATATGCGAATGCATCATCAATTTTTATGACATCATCACGCTTCCAAAGATTCCCATTGTTTGCGTAATTGATAGAGATTTCAATATTTTCATTTCGTTTCGAAATTTTTCCATCATCTTGATTCCTTTTCAAATTCGAGTCATGAATTTCTCTTTTCTTTCGAGGATTCTTATCTTTAGACCCAACTGGTCTTCCTCGATTTTAAGCGTGGTTTTAACTCATTTGGCATATCGTCGTTTGCCATTTCTTTTGGAATCTCAATTCGAGCAGGGGCATTTACGGCTGCCACATGTGATTTGGTTACCCTTTTTAAATCAGTAAATGCATCTGGTAATTGATTTGCAATATTCTGCAGATGTATGATCTTTTGAACTTCTTGCTCTCTTTGTTTGGTGGGAGGATCAAGATATGATAGTGATGATGTTTGCCATTCAATATTTCTTTCAATTGACTTTTCATTCCCACCTAAGGGGGGGAACAATTCTTCATTAAAATGACAATCATCAAACCGAGCTGTAAAAATATCACCTGTTTTTGGCTCAAGGTATTTGATTATTGATGGAGAATCATATCCAACATATATTCCCAACCTTCTTTGAGGCCCCATTTTTGTACGTTGGGGCAGAGCAATTGGTACATACACTGCACACCCAAAAATTCTTATATGTGTAATATTTGGTTCTCGACCATATGCCAACTGTAATGGCGAGTATGTATGGTGTGCACTTGGTCTTCGAATCAGATCATCTGCATGCAGAATAGCATGTCCCCATACTGAAGTGGGGAGTTTTGTCCTTATTATCAATGGTCTAGCTATAGGTTGCAGTCATTTAATCAATGATTCTGCAAGACCATTTTGAGTATGAACATATGCCACAGGATGTTCAACATCAATTCCCACTGCCATACAATAATCATTAAATGCTTGAGATGTAAACTCTCCAGCATTGTCAAGTCTGACTCTTTTGATAATATAATCTGGGAATTGAGCCCTTAATTTAATAAGTTGGGCAAGTAATTTAGCAAATGCCACATTTCTGGTGGATAACAAACTCACGTGAGACCAATACTAGAGGCATCAATTAACACTATAAAATATCTGAATGGACCACAAGATGGATGAATAGGTCCATATATATCACCATGAATCCTTTCCAAAAATAATGGTGATTCATGTCCGACTTTAGTATGTGATTGTCTCATTATCAATTTCCCTTGGGAACATGAGACACATTTCAATTCATGTGTTTGCAATATCCTCTGATTTTTTAATGGATGTCCACTAGAATTTTCAATAATTCTTCGCATCATTATCGAGCCAGGATGACCAAGACGATCGTGCCAAAGTTTAAACATTTTATTCATCTTTGAATTTGTTGCAGCATAAGCCTCGATCATATTAATCTGGGTGTAATATAAACCCGAGGATAGAGCGGGTAACCTCTCCAAAACACATTTATTATTTGAGGTAATGCAGAGATATTCAACTCCCCCTTTATTCATGGTTTCAACGTGGTATCCATTCATTCGGATATCTTCAAAACTCAACAAGTTTCTTGTTGATTTAGAGGAGAATAATGCATCATTCACTGTAAATTTTGTACCTCCCATCATAAAAAATATGGCCTTGCCAGAACCCTCAATTATCTTTGCACTTCCGGATATGGTGTTTACTTTTGCTTTATTTAATATCAAGTTGACGAAATATTTTCTGTCCTTGAGTATAGTATGAGTAGTGGCACAATCTGCAATACATATATCTCAATTTTGGATTCGAGACTGATCCATTATCTAAAAGAAAACAACATTTATTATTGATTAAATTCAAAATACATATAAAAGTAGTCCACACAAATACAACAAAACTTAGAAAGCAATAAAAACATGATCATCAGTTATTCTCTTGGTCATTTCCATCTCTGTCTTCAAATACTGCATCGGCAAAAAATCCAGTTTCAATATGTCATCGATGCCATAGTCATCATCCCCACGTATTGCATCATTTTCAGAAGATTCCCCAACCATAAAATTAGTTTCTATATTCTTATCTTTTGATTTCTGGGAATCGTTATAATTATCAACAACGTGTCTCGGAGCACGACAATTTCGTGCCCAATGTCCCTTCCTTCCACATCGATAACATGCATTTTCATTATTATTCTCCGTCACATTGTTCTGTTCAAATTTTGGCTGAAAATTTCTCCCCTTTTCATAATTTTGGACATAGTTGCGGCCTCGTCCACAATTGTATCCTCGGCCCGAGTTATACCCTCGGTGAAATTTGTGGCCTCGGCCGGTTTGGCGATCCGGAACATATCCACGTCCACGTCCACGACCACGACCACGTTCTGAAGTATATATCCACGCTCATGTGTTTGGCTGTTTTTATTTTCAGTTCCCTGTCTAGATATTACATGATTTATTTTAGGGACCGCAGTAGATCCCGTAGGTTTAGATTCATGGTTTTCATCAACAGTTCATTATTTTGTTCAGCTAATAACAAGCAAGAAATTAATTCAGAGTATTTCACAAAGCCTTTTGCTATGTATTGTTGCTGCAAAAGTACATTTGAAGCGTGGAATATGAACAACGTTTTTTCCAGCATATCGTAATCAGTTATGTTTTCCCCGCATAATTTCAACACCGAGCAAATGCGGAACATTGCTGAATTGTACTCGTTTACAGTTTTGAAATCTTGGAAGCGTAAGTGCATCCAATCATAACGAGCCCGGGGGAGAATCACCGTTTTCTGGTGATCATACCTTTCTTTCAAGGCTTTCCAGAGATTTGCAGGATCTTTCACAGTTAAATATTCATTTTTTAATGCCTCATTCAAATTATGTCTCAGAAATATCATT